TAATAGAAGACCGTTCAGAGGGAATGGTTGCACCGTCAACTTGGCTCTAACCGCTATATGCTGGAGAGAGGGCATTTCTAGTTTTCCGAATGGAAACTGAAATGGGTGAGGAGCATTATAGACGAGAACCTGGAGCTTTGGCAGCTTTAATGGGTCGTTAATGGAGGTCAGCGTCTCAGCATCATACGACAATGAGTCCCCAGGGAAATTTGGAGAAAACTCAAGCCATGTGAGTTGTTCTGACCACTCTAGATCGCGTAAATAGCTGACTAGATCAAAGGCTGTATCTTTGGACAAGGACAGGATCAAGCGTCGAAGGTGTGGTAAAGATAGTTGTGCCAGTTCTTTTCGCCTCAACCTCTTCCAGCCTGAGAATCTGCCAATGAGCGCCTTTCCTCATCGAAAATAGGATGTTTTCGTCGAGTTCGTGGATTATACAAGCCCTGCGAGCTGACTTCAACTGGGCATCAGTAGGAAATCCCGTCCTCTTCCTTCCTCCCGCGGTCTCTACACGTAGACTACGGTGCTTCCTTTGGGCGGCGAAATGTCTCCAAGATCTACAGACTGATCCGATTGTTTTTCTTTGCTTCTCTTTCCCAAGATATTCTTTTTCGTCCTCTCTATTCAGATAGGCCTTCGAGTCATGGGTCCAATCACCACCAGTGTAGATAGTCGAGAAGTACTTTGGAGCGTCTATGGCTTCGTCTAGGATCATCCACCAGACTTCTGATGGCATTTGATGGCTATTAGACTTTCCCGAGGAGGTCATCTTGCGTGGTGGCGATGTTGTCGTAATCAAGTTCCAATCAATAAAGTGACCACACGCGGTCTCAAAGTTAGAATGATACGAAATGTGCCGAATACAATGTAAGTGCAATTTATGCAGCCTGATATTCTACTATCGTTGCATTTCCGGAAAGTCTGGGGTCATAAATTGCATCAGGCGAATTTATGAACCGCTGTCTATTGAGTAGCAGGCCAAATTTCATTTGAAATGATATACATGAAGTGAATTTAGGAGCAAAGATCTACTTATAGAGAATTCCAGTGATATGTTCCGGACCACAAACTCGATTACTGGATTGACCCCAAATTAAGCCATTGAGAACCAACGGGCTTCAAGACTAATACCACGCCTTTCTGCCTTCTCCAAAAGCCGGTTCATGTCCGAACTATTGATCGACATACCGGATTCCCCTCTCAACTCGCCATTACTCATGAGGCCTCCCAATATGATAAGTTGTCGTAGATTGTTTGAGTCCATCCAAGAGGATATGTTTTTAGGGTCCCATTGACGAACGTATAGCCGCTCTAAAGGATGCTCACGGGGTAACGGATAAAACTGGAGCAGAAATGGTCCGTCTAGTACGAGCTCTCGAAGATTTGGAAGCTCGTCCCACTGTAAAAAACGGGCATCTTGGATATTACAGAGCCGTGAATTAACTTTTATCACGATAGATTTGAGATTCTTGCAGCAAGAAAGTAGAAAACGATTGAGAGAGAATGAGTGGAGCGTTAATTGTGCTCGGACCGCGAGATACTGAAGAGAGGGTGCTTCTAGTTTTCCGAAGGGAAATGGAGATGGATATCGTGGATGGTAGATGAAAACTTGGAGATTTGGTAAATTTATGGGATCGCTGATAGGGGTCAACGTCTGTACATCTACCAGTGAAGAATGGCCATCAACGTTTGGAGAGAACTCGAGCCATGTAAGCTGCTCCGACCATCCTAAGTCACGCAGATAGCTGCTTAGATCGAGTACTTTCTCCGTTGGCAGGGACAATACTAGACGTCGAAGGCATGGCAAGGACACTCGGGCCATTTCTTTTGCGTCAGCGTCTTCCAATCGGATAACCTGCCAATCGGCCCTTTCCCCTACCCATGCTGAAACATTTTCGCCAATTGCATGGCTTATAAAAACCCTTCGAGCCGCTTTCAGGTCAGGGTGGGGTGAAAGTTTCTTCCCCATAAAGACCGCTCCAATATGAACACGTAGGCTACGGTGCTTTCTTTGGACAGCAAAATGATTCCAAAACCTACAGACTAATGAAATCGTCTTCCTTTGCTTTTCCTTCTCTCTGTATTCTTTTCCTTCCTCTTTGAAGACACATACCTTCGAGTCACGGATCCAATTATCGCCACTGTAGACGGTTGAGAAGAATATTGGAACGTCTATAGCCTCATCTAAGATCATCCACCAAACTTCGAGTGGAGTTCGAGACACAGCAGAGCTCCTCGAGTAGATCATCAGTTGAAGGAAGTATGTGGTCGGGATCAGGTCTCAATCAATAGAGTACGTAATCACCAACGGCTTCCTAGGTAAGGCAGATGTGATATGTAGTTGTTATATAGCATATATAAACCCTTTCAGATGCAGGATTTCTAGATACAACTTTTTGGGCCGATCAAACACTAATCACTTGCTTCAGACTAGACCCACACTCGTACAAAGATGATATGTCATATTCCCAGCCCAAATAAATCCAATTCTGTGGTTATGACTGGGAATTGAGGCCAAAAGGAATAAAAATGGTCCATCCACGGGACACTTGGAGGCCCTTTGAGGAAAGGAGTACGAGCCTATCACTCCACGCATGTGGACAGAGGCTATTTGCTCAGGTCTTGGCCTATAAATCCCAATACTTAGTACACGACATATTGAATCATGCCGTCATATGATACGCACACATCTCCGCATCTCCCCTCGGTGAAACTTTGCTGAGAAATTACTCTAACTTTCGCACATAGGTGGTGGAGAGACGGGAGAATCAGGTATGCAGATGGAAAGGAGGAGAATAGATACTCAGAGAAGATGAGTACCTTGAGTCTAGGCAATAAGATGCGTGTTCTGTCCTTCTGGACGGTACGAGGCTCGGGTTTTTGCCACTGTATATCATACTCGAGCCATTTGATATTCTTGAACGTGGAAACTGGCCCAGATTTAAGGCCTCATCGTCCTCGATCACAAGAATATGACACTCCATACCTTGCATAAGTATAGGTATGGGTTAGATAAAAGAACCTTTGAGGTGAGCTCGGTACGCTTTTCTGAGGTCGTCCTTACTTGGGCCGGTGCTCTCGTCGGCGCTCTGTAGCCCACTTGAGCAGACGTGACGGTGCCTCCGCTCCACAGAAAAGGCCCTCCAAGTTTTACAGACAGATCCAATAATCTTTTTTTGCCCCTCCCTCTCTTTATACACCCCTCTTCGTTTCTAGTAGGGTTGTGACCTCTTGTATAGTATACAGATAGCCGATCCAATCATTCCCATTAAATGTAGTATTGAGATATCCCGGAAGGTCGATTACTTCGTCCAAGATTATCCACCAAATTTCGGGTGGCACTCGAGTGACAGCAGAGTCGGTCATAAACACAGCGAGATTATGGTCAGGTCCAACGAAGACGTGATGGAGTCGCCACGTACGGTGACAAGCCGTATCTCATTTTATCGATAAATTTCATTTCTGAGTTATTTCATGTTTGGATATATAATCAAACAAATGTTACGAAAGTGAGAGATGCTGATGCCTATTAGATTCGAGAGTTATATTCGGTGGGTCCCATCAAGCGCCGAGTGTATAGAG